ATTAGGGGGAAGTAAATTTTTCAGCAAAATAGACTTATCACAGGCATACAATCAGATCGAGCTTGACGATACCAAAAAGTACACAGTAATTAACACCCATCGCGGTTTGTTTATGTACAACAGACTGGTTTTCGGCTTAGCATCCAGTCCGGGAATTTTTCAAAGAATAATGTGTAGTGCATGTGCCTCCACCCTACTAGTAGTATAAGAAATACATGTACTTTTAAGTTTATTGATCAGTATAATTATAGTCTTCAACTGGGAACCACGTCTTCTATTTATTCAACACCTTTCCGACATTACATGGCGACCCTGCCAGGCGGTGCGCTGCATCAATGCACGCGCACCGCCGCGGCCTACAAAATGATTAAAATTACAATTATATATAATTTGATTATTGTAATTTACTCAAATTGACACAATTATATACCCGGACTACACGGAATATATACCCGGATGTGACGAAAAAATAATAAATAATAATACAAGAAGAGGCCACAATAATAATTGACTGAAAAATTAAAAACCATAACGTATATGAAGTAATATAATATCTTAAAATCTTTAATATAACTATGAAGGCAACTAAGAAAGAATGAAGAGAATAAAAAGTGATTCCTTAAATAATGTCCAAAGACCAAAACTCAAGAAACGGCAAATTAATTTAATAAGGAAAGGAGCAGTTGAACTTTATCGAACTTTGTCCAGTAAGATATGAAAATTAAACCGAAAAGAAAAAAGAAGATATAAGAGGTAACATCGCATCAGCGTAATATTTAACATTTGGTTTTAATTACGAGTATTTTTTATTATGTTTTATATTAAATAAATAAGTAATGCATTAAATATTAAATGTACGGTATTTGCAAGTAACTTGAAAATATTTGTCATATTTAAAATTTTATAATATTTATAATATTTTAGTAGGTATTGTATTAAAAAAAAAATACAAAATATTAAGTTACATTTTACAATGACAAGGTTCGTATTAAAGTAAATATATTTTTAAATTCAGCCCAATTTTTTTCCTTAATAAATTTTATTTAAATGTAAGTATACAATTTTGAAAAGGGCTTTATATAAAAAAATTGCTATTATTATAAGTCATAATTATTTTTCTTCTTTTCCAAAGGCATTAAAACCTTAAAGTAACTATAAATAAATATATAACCTTTAATATGTTTATGTGTGACATTAAAGTTAATATGCAGATTATGCTTTAAAATCGAAATTGGAAATCAATTATTGTTTTGTTTAATGTAAACTTAGCTGTAATAGTAATTACCAATTATTTTCTGTGGGTTATACGGTGTCTTAAATTTCTAGAAATCCTAAATTTTTATATATAAATTAAATGTATAACTAATGCTTATATATTTTTCGATATAATTAAAAGTAATAGCGATGCGATGTAATTATACTATAAACTTCTGTGTCAGTTAGAAAATATTTAAAAGTATCATTTTAATGTGATAAGAAAAATAAACATTAAAAGAGGTTTTAATAATAATGTTTCTTAACAAAGTTAAATATGGACATGAAAAATTGATATATTAACTATATCACATAAAAAGTTGTCATATATTACCTCATTTTTGTACAATATTAAAAAGTATACATTTAAAAGGTGCGAGGAATGAGAGGAGTGTTCAAAAGTGTGAATACGAATGATTGAATTTCTAAGTTTCGTCAATATTGGACTGATCACCCAAATATTTGATGATGCTGAAAATCCTGGTATTGAAACCATTATGAGCGAGAATTATGAAAGTTAGTAATGGAAATGGAGTATGAAAGTATATAAAAGTTACCGATACAGTCAAGTAGATAACAGCAGGTACTATAAAGATAAAGAAAGAAATGAAAATTTATGAAGAGAATCAAAATAAAATAAAAGATGACCTTGATAAATAAATCATGGAAAAATACGGGAACGTCCATCACTAGTAAAGCATATAGTCCTCGAGCACGGTATGTTTCCATGATTGGATGATAAAATCGGAAGTAACGGGTACTAGGGAACAATACCTTCAGTACAAGTGAGATGTGAACGAATTAACTCATGCATTAGTACTGTTGGGGACCAGACAAGTCTTAAATTTGTTACCCTTGATAATGGTACATAGAGGTCACATCCTTCGTTGGATCATAGTGTGAACTTAGTTTTCCTCCGTGACAATTGTTGGAGTCCATTTAAAATGACTTAAAAGTTGACCTCGAGGTTGTGCGCACAACCCAAGGTACAGTTTTACCTTGATATAGTATGATAAAAAAAAGTTTATGTACCAATAAAATGAAATGAATGTAATGAAAAAGTAATATAATACCCAAGTAAATGGGGGGCCCATATTTATAAAGTACCCGCGTGATAAATATCACGTAATAAAATATAAATGATGTGAATTAATACTCCGATTCCCGGTATCTAATTAATAAATAAATATTAAGGAGAGAGAATACTAAAAGAAATAAAGCTAGCTAAAGGTCAAAACATAAGAAAGAAATAAAGTACGTACAACAATTATGAAAAAAAATAGGCCTGACAATCAAAAAGGAATGTAATGAGATGTGTTAGTATGAAATAATTAACATGCGGGGACATGAGAACAATTAAAATGAGGTAATAAGGGGGATCATCGCCCAAATAAAAAAAAAACAACCACACAAAAAATTAAATAATATGATAAATACGTTTTTGTTTAGATATATTTTATATGAATTTGCAAAACTTTTTCATATTCTCAATAACTCTACCCTAAATTTCTCTTAGTTTTTTTGTTAATGTTAAATTTGTACAATTTTAAACTAAATTTTGTATATTAGTTAGTAAAACAAGTCCAAAGTGTATCTACTCCATTATTATAAGTCTCATAACATAATAGTATTTTTTATTATGGACAACGAAATATAAAATTATGTATCTGCTTTTTAAAAAAATTGTCTCGTCTAATGTTAATAAATATTTTGTTTAAACAAACTTTAGGTGTGTAATATTGTATATTTTAAATTTCTGTCTCAATTAAGGTAAACATATTCCATAAAAGTCATAAAATAAAAAAGTAGTAATGTGTTTTCGACTATCATAAATAACTTAAATAATGAATACTCGATAATTCATGTAAACCTATTATCATAATGAAATGTAACTACCTAAACTGTGTAAATTAAGAAAAAATGTTTAAAACAAATATTTAACTGTAAACTATTAGGAAAGGTAAATTATTTTATTCACGGTTCACTATCATACGATGTAATCTCAAACGTTTCCATATACGTGTACTTTGGAATTTAAAACAAAGGTGTCATAAATCGCTTACGCAGCTGGGATCACAACATGAATTTTGATCTGTCTGTTGTTATGTTAACGAAATTGATTAGGTACGTTGCTTTGCACTGACTTCTTTCTTCTGGATATATAATATGGAATGTAATCAATTATGTTCCGTATAATATTGATTGAATTTTCAAATCATAAACTTTTATCTATAACAATTTATTATTTTCTGAGAAAATAGTAGAGTGATACCAACTTAGTTGTATGGATTATGAAAATAATTTCTTTATTTAATACGATTTTGAAATTCATTATACCTACTATGTTTGCAATTAATTAATTTAAATTTTGTTGTGACCAAAATATTGTGAGCCTCAATCTCTGACTGACAATGATATATGTACCTAAATATTATACGAGACTATATTATGATATAAATTTGCAATGCCTGTAAAATAGTAAAAAAAAGATATTATATATTTATTATATTGCCTAATTATGTCAAATATATAATATGTTGTATTTTAGCAATTGAGCACATGCGATCTAATTATTGAGCACAAGTTTATGTTTTTAATTCGTTACCAATTATGGAGAATGGTATCATCGGTCGAGATCTATTAAAAAAAAATATAGATCAGTTTCGCATTTTGATTCGAATATTATTTTAATATTATATGACCATCTAGGTAGATCATAATATAACTTATTTCACACACTTGTAATAATTCCTTGGCAAGTTTTTTTTTGCTTTTATTTCACTAATGTGATAAGACATTCTTAGGGTTAAGATACTTAAAGCTTTGTGTTGAATGGCAAGGATTGTAAGTATAATTTATTGAAAGATTTGACTGATAAAAATAAATTCAATGACTGTTTTATACACATTGGTTAGAGTAAATTGAAATATTAACTTATTTTAGCAATGAAAAAGTTTTGGATTATTAATAGGTAAAGCACAAGATCTGGTAGATAGTTAGCTATTTCAGTGATAGTCGGGTGTGCACACGAGTATGATGGAAATGCTAAAAAGTCAATGAGAACTTTTCGTAGACATCAGGTTTTTAGAAAGGATAAAAAGTACATATAACATGATGTCAAGTTAACTGCAAAACGCATTATTATTGATGCCCACCTGTATACCTACTTGATCATGTTAACATGTTGTTGTAACGTTGGTTAGTACCAAAATACGACAGGTTTAATGACGTACAAAAAAAATCGCATACGTATCCTGGATTGACTCAATAATATTATGTATAACCTGACCTGATCATGATCATGAGATTATAATCTTTTTTTTTTAATGAATTAATTTTATATTTTGTTTAACTGCTTTATTTTACTCAATTGAGGAATTATATAAATTTAATGGCTAAGTAACATTGTATTTTATTTTAATCTTCAATATTAAATTTATTATTATGTAATAAGATTCAGGGTTCATATAATATTATAATTAAAGATTTCAATTCACAATGTAATTTACATGTAATCATAAATCAATTTTTTTATTATATCTATCACGAAAATAAAATGTAAAAAAAGTAAGTAGAGAACATTTCTTTTTTTTTCTTAAAATATCGGGGGAGGTGTAGTGCATGTGCCTCCACCCTACTAGTAGTATAAGAAATACATGTACTTTTAAGTTTATTGATCAGTATAATTATAGTCTTCAACTGGGAACCACGTCTTCTATTTATTCAACACCTTTCCGACATTACAAATGGTTAACTTGTTAAAAGATATCGAGGGGGTCGTAGTATTTTTGGATGACGTTTTGATCGCTTCGGACACTATCGAAAACCATATACATACTTTACGTAAAGTGCTAGATAAATTGAAAGAGTACGGTCTTAAATTAAAAAGGGAAAAATGTGAATTTTTTGTAGAAAAAGAGAAATATTTGGGTTATGTAATGAATAAAGAGGGAATCCACCCCGATCCTGACAAGATAGAATCGATTCTGTTGATGTCACCACCCAAAGATATTTCGGAACTTCGGTCATTTTTAGGAATGGTCAATTTTTATAGCCGTTTCGTGACCAATTTGAGTACCATTTTACGGCCACTTTACGAACTACTAAAAAAAGACTCGACATGGAAATGGGGTAAATTAGAACAGCAGGCTTTCACTGTAGTTAAGAGACGTTTGAGTGACGCGGTCGCGCTGAGCCACTACGAGCCGGGCGCGCCGTTAGTGGTGACGTGTGATGCCAGCGCGCGCGGGCTTGGCGCCGTGCTGGCGCAGCGCGACGCGGCCGGCCGCGAGCGCCCCGTCATGTGTGTGTCGCGCGCGCTCACCGCCGCGGAATGCAACTACAGTCAGATACAAAAGGAGGCGTTAGCTATTGTATTTGCTGTGAAAAAGTTTCACCAGTATATTTACGGACGACGGTTTACATTGCGGACGGATCATAAACCGTTAGTCACAATATTCGGTCCACACCAAGGTATTCCTAGCATGACGGCCAGTAGATTACGGAGATGGGCTTTAATATTAACAGCTTACGATTTCGATATCGAATACGTCTCAACTAATGATAATGTGGCGGATGCATTGTCGCGAATGATTTCTACCCATAAAGAGAGTAGGTCGGAGGAAAATCGAGAATTTCCGGAACAAACTTATTTACATTTCGCGTCAGAGGCCTTATTAATAGACAATAATAGTTTAAAGCGGGAAACCGCGAGGGACGCGATACTAGGGCGGGTCCTCGGTTATATACGGGACGGCTGGCCGCAAGATATCGAAATAAAAGATATCAAACCATACTTTCACAGACAGAAAGAGTTATACGAGGAACTGGGGTGCGTCATGTGGGGTCACAGAGTAGTGGTACCTTCTAGTTGCAGGGAGAAAGTTCTCGCAGAGTTACATGAGGCTCACATGGGGATCACCAAGACGAAACAGTTCGCTCGCAGCTACGTGTGGTGGCCGGGGATCGACGAGGCGGTGGAGGCCGTGTGCCGCGCCTGCTCGGTGTGCGCGCGCGTGGCGGACGCGCCGGAGCAACACGAGCCGCGCCCGTGGCTGTGGCCAGAGCGCCCGTGGTCGCGACTGCATCTCGATTTTTTAGGGCCGATAGGGGGCGTTACTTACTTAGTTACCGTGGACGCTCATTCTAAATGGGTCGAAGTCACTGCTATGAGTTCCATTTCGGCAAAAAATTTAATAAGCAAATTAAGGGAAATGTGGGCTAGATTCGGTCTGCCAAGACAGATAGTGAGTGACAACGGTCCGCCATTTACTAGTCAGGAATTCCAGTTATTTCTTAAAGATAACGGTATAGAACACATATTTTCAGCACCCTATCACCCGGCTTCGAATGGCGCAGCGGAGAATGCGGTTAGAATGAGCAAGCGGGTTATAAAAAAGGCACTGGTACAGGGTGTGAATATCGATATCGCGCTTAATAGGTTTCTACTCGTATATCGTAACACCGAACACTGTACTACCGGTGTGAGCCCCGCGAAATTATTACAAGGTCGTTCACTGCGCACACGCCTCGACTGTCTGAAGCCGGAGCTGGGGCCCCGCGTGCGGCGCGAGCAGGCGCGGCAGGCGCGCGCCGCGGGCGGCAGTCGCCGGCAGTTCGCGCCGGGAGACCGCGTATGGTACCGCGATTATCGTAACTCGGTTGTAAAATGGTTAAAAGGAGAAGTACACTCCAGACTAGGAGAAACGGACTATAATATTCTAGGGGCTGATAAAGTCTTTATTCATAGACATGTCGACCAGATAAGACCACGATCGGGGGAGCCGGATAGGGAAGGAGAAGACCGGGATGTTTCAGAAGGAGGAAGAGGTTCATTATCACGTTCCTATCTAGTGTATCCGAATGGCTCCTCTCCAGTGGTGGAGGAAGAGGCCAGTTCGAGTGGCAGAGAGGCTGCGGCCGGGTCCGCGCCCGCCGCGACGTCCCCGCGCCCCCCGCCCGCCCCGCAGCCGGCGCCCGCGGCTCCGAGCCCGGCGAGGGAGCGCCCCAACCCGCCTAGAACTCGTAGGGCCCCGCGACGTTATGGATTTGATTTTGATTAGTTGTAAGTTAGTTAAGTGATATGTGCTTTATTTTATATTAGTTTAAGTACGTTTAGAATAAGGGTGGAGGTGTAATGTAGGGTAAGCTTATTGTTAGCATAAGGAAGGTAGTTTTGTGACCTCTCTCTCTCGCAATAAATGGTTGAACTGTACGGACGTGTTTTCCTTTGTCTCAGTGGTCAGTTCTTTCAATAGAGAAACGGTTTTAAGAGGTGGCTTCATAATATTAGCTAGTAAATTATTATCACGTAAAGAACGTAAAGATATTGTGAGCCTCTTTGTTGAGCAAACTGTAGAAATGGCATGTGTTGAGTTTGAGCATCTCATTGTTGTGAGCGTCTACAGACCCCCATGTTCTATATACGATACTTTTGAAAAAAATATGGAGGAAGTTTTTGCTAAAGTTTAATAAACAGAATAAATCTGTTGTAATATGTGGAGACTTTAATATCAATCTCCTAGAAGCTTCCTCCATCAATATTAAATTTAGATCATTGTTTAAATCATATGGTCTTTTTAATTTATTTTTAGAGCCACCGCGTATTGTTCAATCTAGTGCAACATGTATAGATAACATTTTTACAAATGTGAAGCCGTTGCATAAATGTATATTTCATAAAATTAAGTTCTGATTACTGTGGACAAGTAGATGAGAAAGTTGTGTTTGTTCCAGTAAATGCACGTCGCTTGGACAAATTTAGAAGTAACGTAGTGAAAAAACTTCCATCACTTTCATACCAAAATGATATTAATTTTTTGTATGGACCATTATTTAAGCTTATTTGCAATGAATTTAATAATACTTTTACTACTAAAACATTCTCCTTGAACAGTCGGAAGTCATTCAATGCATTCATTGAACACTCCATAGTCCATGAAAGGTCATTTAATAATAGCGTCGAATTTAGGGAATATGTAAAAAAAATATTTAAAAGAGTGTGCTCCACAGCCATGTCTTTGCGTTTGAGCAACAAAATTAAGACGGCTTCTAATAAAATTAAAATGACATGGAGTATAATTAATAGCGAAATTGGTAAGATCAACTCTCGCAATTCAAACTACCAGTTAATTGTTAACAACAAATTAACTAAATCAGATCAGGACGTTGCAATGGTTTTTGAGAAATATTTTACTGATATTCCGATATTAACCACTAAGTCACTGAATTCTTCTCCTGCAGTCGCCGAATCATTAGTAAAGTTGCAGCCTATTTATTTTATTTTATTTATTTATTTTATTTTATTAAGAAAACCAACAGCCTTGAGCAGCCTATTTACGTCCCACTCCTGGACACAGGCCTCCTCTCATTTCTGAGAGGGTTTTAGGGCAAGGAAATGTCCGCCGCGCTGCCCCAGTGCGTGTTGGCGAAGTTCACATGTCTTCGAAATATGTTTTTTTCTTATTTCTCAGACATGCAGGTTTCCTCACGATATTTTCCTTCACCGCCGAGCACGTGGTAAATCAGCACTTAAAATTGTAATTAATAATTTCATTGGTGCCGGCGGGGATCGAACCCAGGTTGCTCGAGTACTGTGAAGCTAACAGCGAGCGCTATCATTACTTAAACAAAATTTAAATGCGTGTATAGAGAATTTTACATTTCATAAAGTATCATCAAAAGATATTGTAAAATATTTTAAAACTATTGATGTTAAGAAATCTGAGGATCTGTGGGGGATTTCCGTTATAGTTATTGCGTCTATAATAGATACAATCGCGCCTCATTTAGCTATTATTTTTAATACTAGTATCGAATCTGGTGTGTTTCCTGATTTAATAAAGAATAGTAAAGTAACACTTTTATTTAAATCTGGTAGTACATTAGACCCCGCCAATTTTAGACCTATTTCTGTACTACCAACACTTAGTAAGATTTTTGAAAAAATTATTCTTGATAAAATATTAAATTTGTTTAATATAAATAATTTACTTCATAAAAATCAATTTGGTTTCACAAGGGGTCGCTCGACAACTGATGCCAGTACTGAGCTGATTAAATATATCTTTAATGCATGGGAGAATTCACAAGATGCTTTGGGTATTTTTGTGACCTATCTAAGGCCTTCGATTGTGTTCACCATGGAACATTAATCAGGAAACTTCAACACTACGGTGTAAGAAGTGACGCTCTTAAATTAATTATTTCATATTTAAGTAAGAGAACGTAAAAAGTTGTCATTAATAGTATGAGCTCTTCCGGGTCGATGGTACAAATGGGCGTGCCTCAAAGCTCAATTCTTGGCCCTTTTCTGTTTCTTGTGTACATTAATGACTTACCTTACATAGTAGGGGATAACCATGATATAGTATTATTTGCAGATGACACTTCTTTAATTTTCAAATTAAGTCGACAATTACTAAACTATGACGATGTAAATAATGCTATATCTAAATTAGTTAATTGGTTCAATGTTAATAATTTGCATTTAAGTGGCACTAAAACGAAATGTATGAAGTTCATGACTCCAAATGTCAGACAATTAAATACTAATGTAATTTTAAATGGGGAGAAACTGAGTCTTGTAGATACCATCATTTTTCTTGGAATCACAATAAACGCGAAGCTTCAATGGAGCCCCCGTATATCAAAACTAGCAAGCAAACTTAGTTCTGCAGCATATTATGCTGTAAAAAAGATTAGAAGTCTTACCAGTGTTGAAACAGCTGGACTAGTTTACTTTAGCTATTTCCATAGCATAATGTCGTATGGTATTTTACTATGGGGACACGCAGCTGACACTGAAATTATATTTGTTTTACAGAAGAGGGCCATAAGAGCAATTTATGATTTAAAGCCTAAAGAGTCGCTGCGACATAAATTTAAAGAAATTAATATATTAACTTTGGCCTCTCAATACATTTATGAAAATGTAATGTAGGTACACAAAAATAAAAGTAGTTTTACAAAACTAACTGATATTCATTCTGTAAATACTAGGAACAGACACTAGCTATAGTAGTACTAGTTACTCGACTCCATCGAGTCAGTAATTCATTCTTGGGGCGATGTATACGCTTTTACAACAAAATTACAGAAAATATGCAAAATTTGGCCTGCTCAAAGTTCAAAAACTCTATTAAACTAAGTTTGTGTAAAAAAGGTTATTATAATATTAAAGAATTTATGGATGATAATAACCCTTGGAAATGAGATGATCGCTACCAAGCTATTTCTAATTTGTTGTGTTGTTAATTTGTGTAACATAAGTACATGATTGTAAGCTGTTATTTAAAAAAAAGTCCTGCTGGGTTTCTTGCTGGTTCTTCCCAGGACAGAGGTTTTTTTTTTTTTCAAACCATTGGTAATTAAACAAAAGAGTGACTTTCATAAGTATTATTTATAAATTATAATCTATATTGAATAAAAAAGATTCTGTTTCTGTTTCTATGAGAGTCGATTTGTAAATAAATTATGTAAACTAGCAAACACGAGAAAATATGTTTTTCTTAAAAGATGCGAGAAATAATTTAAATATATCAATGGCCGTGAAATAAGCATTCGCCAGCGATTGCGCGACATATTTTAGGGACGAATGGATACTGAGTATGAGTATTTCGAATGCGTTCTGAACGACTTGGTATACGAAGACATATCTTATTAGTAAGCTGGTTACCATCAAGATTACTATGGCAAATATTTTATAATATTATCTCGTTCAATAGCACTCGTCTTGCATTAAGTGTATCACTAACACATATCATTACAGCCCTTCACAAGTCCACTGCTTAACACAGGCCTCCACCAAGGAATGCCACAAAGCACGGTCCTAAGCTACCTGCATCCATCGACTTCCTGCATGTCTTACCAGGTCGTCACTCCATCTAGTAGGGGGATGCCCTACACTTCGTCTACCGGTACAAGGCTGCCACTCGAGAACTAAAATGAAAAATGAAAAATTCCCCACCTGTTGTCGGTTTTTCGAGTTATATGGCCGGCCCACTGCCCCTTCAGCTTACTAATCCGTTGGGCTTTGTCGGTTACTCTGGTTCTACTGCGGATATTCTCATTTCTAAGTTTATCACGCAGAGAAACCTCGAGCATAGCCCTCTCCATAGCTCGCTGAGCGACCTTGAGCGTCCTCATACGGCCAGCAGTGAAGGACCCCGTCTTAGATCCGTAAGTCATCACTGACAACACGCACTAATTGTACAATCTTGTTTTCAGGTTTTGAGGTATACGTGACGAGAAGATGTGTCGTAATTTCCCGAACGCTGCCAAACCGAGTTGAATCTGTCGACTGACTTCTAGGTGGAAATTGGACTTACCTAGTCAGACTATTTGTCCCAGGTAAACATACTCGTCAACAACTTCGAACTTAGTGCTCCCAATAACCACCGGCATAGGTGTAACATGGACATTAAACATGATCTTTGTTTTATCCATGTTCATCTTAAGACCTATCCGTTGGGGGACACTTTTGAGGTCATTGAACATAGTACTTAGGTCCTCCAGCGATTCTGTCATAAGGACTCTATCGTGGGGAAATCGAAGGTGAGTGATGTACTCGCCATTGATGTTGATACCATATCCTTTCCAGTCCAGTAGCTTGAATACGTCTTCCGATTCAGCGATGAAGAGTTTCGGAGATATAACGTCACCCTGTTTTACACCTCTCTGTAGTTTAATAGGCTTCGTACTCTGATTCTGTACTCGGATAGGTCTACTGTACAAACACTTCAGCGCTTCGATATACCGACAGTCAACTTGGGACCGCTGAAGGGATTGCAGCACCGCCCAAATTTTGAAAGAATCAAAGACTTTCTCCTAGTCCACCTAGACACAAAGTGGAAGATTGTACTCTTCGGTCTTATGTACAATTTGCCGAAGGGTATGTATCTGGTCTATGGTACTAAGGCTATTTCGGAAACCGGCTTATTGGGGAGGCTGGAAACGATTCGTAATGATTCTTAAAAACAGCACGTAGACGCGGCTCAGAAGGGAAATCGGTCTGTATTTCTTCAAGAGAGCGTTGTCGCCTTTCTTGAAGAACAAGACAACC